GTAGTGTGCTCTGGGGCTGGAGAGACTGGCCCAGGGTCACCCCGCTGGGACCCGGTTCATACCCAGGGGGTTGACCATAAATCTTGAGCTGTTAACCTTGGCATTGGCCATCACCAGGGGCTTTGCTCTGAGGCCATGCAGAGAACTCAGAGGGTAAAGTGTGTGTCTGTGGGCAGGGGTGGGGTCTGGGTGGGGCCCGGGGAGGTTCAGAGGGCAGAAGGCAGGCCAGGGGCATCATCCTGGCCCCTGAGGAGTCGTCTCAGGAGCTCTGGCCCCCAAAGATGCAGAGGGCTTGGGTGCTGGAGCCCCAGGGACCCCAAAGGGACGTTGGGCTGTGGGGTCGACCTCTGAAGATGAGGCCAGCTGCCAGCTTAGGGACTCTAACCTGAGAATCTTGGAAATTGAATGGAAAATGCATGTGTTTCCTTTAAGTTTTCAAAGAGGCTTGTGACTCAAACAAGGCTGGAAGGCAGATCCCAGTCCATCATTGCCCCGTGTCTCCTGGCGATGGCTCAGCAACATGGGGGTTCTTCCCCCAGAGGAAAAGAGATGCCCCCGGGCTTGGCTACCCCCTTGGCCATCACAGGCCATCTGGGCTGGGGTCTGCCCTAGTTGTCCACTTGCTCAGGCCAGGGAGGGGACTTGTAGGAGCAGTGGCTTTGACCTGAAGCCTGGAGATCCCGTCGCTTTGAGTTAGCAGATACTGAGACCTACTGTGTGCCATTCCTGGAAACACATGTAGAGACAAGCTGTTTTTCTGCTCACGATGAGCCCACAGCGGGGCAGGGGATGGAGAGGAGATGCAAGCAGCGTCAGGGACGGGGTGCTCCCAAGAGGCAGAGGTGGAGAGAGCACTTCCAGCCGGGGGCCTGGGGCAGGCCGGGGTTTCAGCCGGTGGAGGCGAGGGGACTGTCACGTGTGGTGGGGGTCAGCAAGGGGCTTAACCAGGGCTCGCGTCAGCCCCGTCCCTGAGCAGCCCCGTGCCTCTCCCCTAGTCCCACCCACCATCGAGGGCGCTGCCGAAGGGCCTCACTTAGTGAAGGCCGTGGCCGGGAGGCCCTTGGCGCTGGAATGCGTGGCCAGAGGCCACCCACCGCCCACCCTCTCCTGGTACCACGAGGGACGGCCAGTGGGGGACAGCAACGGCACGTGGCTAGAGGCCGGCGGCAGCGTGCTGAGCCTGGAGAGCCTGGGGGAGGCGTCCGGAGGCCGGTACAGCTGCGTGGCCAGCAGCCCCGCTGGGGAGGCCGTGCTGCAGTACGCCGTGGACGTGCAGGGTGAGCCCCGGCCTGTCCCACCCGTCACCAGGGCTTTGGGCCCCCCTCCCCCCCACACACACCCGCGTTGCACCAGGCCCCGCAGCCTTCTGAGAGCTGCTCCAGTCAATGGTCAGTGGGGTGGACATTTATCGAGAATTCGCTAGGGCCCAAAGCTGGGGCGTGGGCGGTGATCTTGGAGATGGGTGGGGTGGAGCCTTCCCCTGCTTTCTCCCATTCGACGGACATCTCTCTGGCATTGATTCTGGGGTGGCCCACGTGGTGTTGGAGATAAGGCAGGGGACGAGGCAGGCAGGACTCCTGAACCCTGGGTCTGGTGGGGAGACAGACACTGAATAAACAGGACAAGGCCGAGCGGAGGCCACCTGGTCTTGGGTGGTCCTGGAAGGCCTCCTGGAGGAGGCACCATTTATGGGGGAACTTGAAGGGTAAGGCGAAGCTTGAGCCTTGCTCTGGGGGTACTGGGGACTTGGGAGGGCTTTAGGGCGTGGCTTGCTCAGCTCTAAACACCCAATGGGGTGTCCTGCCTGCAGTGCCCCCACAGCTCCTGGTGGCCGAAGGCTTGGGCCAGGTGACCACCCTCGTGGGACAGCCCCTGGATCTTCCCTGCCAGGCCTCAGGCTCTCCGGTGCCCACTGTCCAGTGCGTATGGGGAGGTGGGACCAGGGCCGGGCGGGGACATGCGGGCAGAGAACGCGTGCTTTGCGGGGTGGATGGGGACAGGAGACACTTCCCCTTCCCAACAGTATGGAAGAGGCCACGGAGCCAGGGACACGCGAGCAGGCTGGAGGTGCTGCCGGGCCTGGCTTGTCCTGCCGCCCTGCCTTCCCTGGCCTCAGACTGCCGCTCCCCCTCCCACCCACCTTAGATGGCTGCAGAATGGCCGCCCAGCTGAGGAGCTGGCAGGGGTGCAGATGGCCTCCCAGGGAACCACACTGCACATCGACCGCGTGGAGCAGGGCCACGCGGGCCTCTTCTCCTGCCAGGCCACCAACGAGGCAGGCACTGCCGGGGCCGAGGTGGAGTTGTCTGTGCACGGTGAGGGCACGGGGGAGGCTCGGACAGCCTCTGGGAGGGATGTGGAGCTGGTCTTGTCTGGACAGTGCTTCTGGGCTGGACTTCCCAGCTCCCTGAAGAGATGCGACATGAGAGGCTGGTCTGGGCCATTTACTACGGTCGTCTGCCCGTCCACAGGTCCTCGCTTTCCTCCCCAGTCTTCTCTCTCTCCACGTTAGTCAGCTCTTTACATACATCAGTTCTCTCACCTCTGCGCCTGCAAATGCTATTTCCCTGCCTGGAACATTCTGCCTCTGTGCCTGCTAGCTCCTCCCTATCTTTTGGGTCTGTCTTAAAACACCCCTTCCTCCAGGAAGCCCTCCTGGATTCCACCATGGTTCTAATCCACACTGTATCGGGTGACCACTGTATCGGGAGTGCTTGTTTGGTCGTCCATCTCTGCAGCCCTCTGGAGCTCTAAGAGGGCGACACAGTGGTCACCATTCTTTGCTGTGTCCCTGTGCCTAGTAGAACTCAGAGCACACAGTAGATGCTGGATGGATGGATGGATGGATGGATGGATGGATAGGTGGATGGATGATGGATGGGTGGATGGGTGGATGGATGATGGATGAGTGGATGGGTGGATGGATGATGGATGGATGGATGAGTGGATGGATGATGGATGGATGGATGGGTGGATGGATGATGGATGGGTGGATGGGTGGATGGATGATGGATGAGTGGATGGGTGGATGGATGATGGATGGATGGATGAGTGGATGGATGATGGATGGATGGATGGGTGGATGGATGATGGATGGGTGGATGGGTGGATGGATGATGGATGAGTGGATGGGTGGATGGATGATGGATGGATGGATGAGTGGATGGATGATGGATGGATGGATGGGTGGATGGATGATGGATGGGTGGATGGGTGGATGGATGATGGATGAGTGGATGGGTGGATGGATGATGGATGGATGGATGAGTGGATGGATGATGGATGGATGGATGGGTGGATGGATGATGGATGGGTGGATGGGTGGATGGATGATGGATGAGTGGATGGGTGGATGGATGATGGATGGATGGATGAGTGGATGGATGATGGATGGATGGATGGGTGGATGGATGATGGATGGGTGGATGGGTGGATGGATGATGGATGAGTGGATGGGTGGATGGATGATGGATGGATGGATGAGTGGATGGATGATGGATGGATGGATGGGTGGATGGATGATGGATGGGTGGATGGGTGGATGGATGATGGATGAGTGGATGGGTGGATGGATGATGGATGGATGGATGAGTGGATGGATGATGGATGGATGGATGGGTGGATGGATGATGGATGGGTGGGTGGGTGGATGGGTAGGTGGATGAATGGATGAGTGGGTGGGTGGATGGATGGATGGATGGGTGGATTAATGGATGAATGGGTGGGTGGATGGATGGATGGATGAGTGGGTGGATGGATGGGAGAATTTTTAAGAAAGGAAAGACTTGCCCCCCTGGCTCCCCATCTGGCACTCTTCCCCTAAGCCAGGTGTCTGGATGGGGCTAGAGGGCAGCCCTGCAAGGCCATGCCCTGCTCCTCAGGCATTGAGGGGCTGCCAGGTGCTCAGTGTACCCCTCCTGACCCTGACTCAGCCTTCCCTGCGTCTCCCCCACCCAGAGCTCCCATCAGTGGTCATCATTGGAGGTGAGAACATTACAGCCCCTTTCCTGCAGCCTCTGACCCTCAGATGTGCAGGCACTGGGGTGCCTACCCCGAGCCTCCGCTGGTGGAAGGATGGGGTGGCCCTGGCATCCTCGGGGGGGATCCTGCAGGTATGTGCAGAGCCCTGGGGCTGGTGGGGCAACCTTGTACAGGGGAGGGGCCTGCCTGGAGGCAGGGCGAGCACAGAGCCCACTCAGCCTGGCAGTGCTCCGTGGGCCTGTGTGCTAGCTGGCCCTGCAGAGGGAAGGGTGCTCTTAGCTCAGCTCAGGTCCCTGGAGCTTCAGCTATCAGAGGGAGAAAGGTGGGGAGAAGGAGAGTATCCCCAAGATCAGAGGGGTTCCCTGGAATCAGTGCAGAACTCCACCCCGAAAGCCAGACCTGACCCCATGTCTCACTTCCCTGCCCCTGAGGTCAGGAGTAGCCTGGCCACTTGCTACGTCCTAGCATCACTCTGCCCTCCAGTCCTGGGCCCCATGTCCCCACCCCCTGTATCCCCGTGACACACACTCTGCCCTCTCTCCTCCCCTCCCCAGATCGAGAAGGTGGACCTGCGGGATGAAGGCGTCTACACTTGTGCCGCCACTAACCTGGCTGGGGAGAGCAAGAGGGACGTGGTGCTCAAGGTTTTGGGTGAGGACATGGGCGCAGATGGTGGGTGATTCCCTCAGGGCCCTGGGCGCTCCACGGGAGGGGGAGGGGGAGGGGGAAGGGGAGGGAGATTTAAAGTCGCAGTCTCTTGCATTTGACTTTAGAAGTGGAAAGTCATTTGCTCTGTGGCCCCTTTGGGGTTTTCTGCAGGATTTTTAGTAGATATTCTTGTCCACAATCATTTATCTTTGCTTGTTTTATTTATTTTGGAGGATTCTTTTACGTCTTTGCGTACGTGGGGGCAAATCCCTATACTTGTCACTGTTCGTGGCTGTTTGGGGTTCCGCCTCCCCGCCGTGCTGGGTGTCACCTGTTCCCGGGGGAGGGCGCTGGGATGGTCCTTGTACGGTTGGATTGAAGATTGCAGCTCAGCGTCTTTGTTCCTGTACCTGGTTCAGGCGTGGGCTTCCTTGGTCAGAAGGCATGAGCTGTTTGGGGGCCCTTGTTGCCCAGGACCCTTTGGGAAGGCTGGGGAGGGCATCGGCATGGCTGAGATCTGAGCTGCTGGGGCTCACATCCACCAAGCCAGGGTGCTTCTTGTCTTCCTCAGTGCCCCCCAACATTGAGCCAGGCCCGGTCAACAAGGCAGTGCTGGAGAATGCCTCCGTGACCTTGGAGTGCCTGGCTTCGGGTGTGCCCCCTCCAGGTAAGACCCCTGCTTTTGGCCGAAAGCCACTGCCCGGGGGCCCCAGATCCCCACCTAATGGGGCTGCCCAGTGCCCTGGGTGCTGCTCTGGCCGTGGACAAAACAGGGTGAAACCGGCAGGCCGTTCTCCCTGCTTCCTGCATGTCCTCTCCTCCTTCTCAACAGCTGTTGATCCGGTGCGCATTACCTGCCGGTCACCTGCAGGGCCCAGAGCCTTGGTGCTGGGGGTGGGCCCCGGGACCTCCAAGCCCCTGTCCATCTGGGCCGCTTCCCTAGAGCAGCAGTCAAGGAAAGGGCTGGAGCTTGGGGCTGGGGGCGAGTGTTTGGCAGTCAGGGAGGGTCCAGGAGGAAGGTCCATCTCCTGTCCCCCATCTGAACCCCCATCTGAACCAGGTCCACTTAGCTTTGCTGGGGTAGCGAGCTCTGGAGGCATTTGCCCCCTCCCATTGAGGGGACCCTGTTCTGGGATGGGCCCTGGTACGATGTGAGGAAGCTGAAGGTCCAGTTGGTCCATACTTATGAGGCTCCTGTGTTGGGGTATACTAGGTTCTCCTCTAAAGCTCTCCCTCATGAGCATTATCCTGGCGGGGAGAGGGGGGAGTGAGGGGGCTGGCTGGCTTTGACTCGGGGGCTCCCGGCTGCCACAGCCTCTACCTCCTGGGGCTTCCTCTCCGCCCCTAGTTCTGTCTCAGACAGCACTGCCTTGTTAGCCTCTTTCCCCCTTCCTGGGGGACCCCGGCTTTCTCCAGTGCCTGAGAAGAAGGCATGCCACGTGGCCACCCCGGAAGCCTCTCTTGGATGCCCATTACACAGGCAGCCTGAAGGGCTGGCAGCAGCCCTTGCACCCCTCTTCTCTCTCCCAGATATCTCCTGGTTCAAGGGCCGCCAGCCTGTCTCTGCCCGCAAGGGAGTGACGGTGTCAGCCGATGGGAGAGTTCTCCTCATTGAGCGAGCCAGATTCTCTGACTCTGGGAGCTACCGCTGTGTGGCATCCAATGTGGCAGGCCACACAGAGCTGCAGTACGGCCTACGAGTCAATGGTGAGCTGCCCTGGGACTAAAGGGGTTTTGTCCATAAAGTTGTCTTTCATAAATTTGTCTGTCAGCTTGTCATCCATCCATCCATCCATCCATCCATCCATCCATCTATCCATTCATCATCCATCTATCCTTCCATCCATCATCCATCTATCTATCATTCATCCATTGGTCATTCATCCTTCCTTCTATTCATTATTCATCTATCCATTCTTCATCCATCAATCCATCCATCCATCTTTCCTTCCATTCATCATCTGTCTATCTATCATCCATTTATTCATCTATCTATCCATCATTTATTCATCATCCATCCATTCGTCATCCATCTACCATCCATCGATCATCCATCCATCCATCATCCATTTATCCATCATTTATTCATCCATCCATCTTTCCTTCCATCCATCATTCAATTATCTATCCATCGTCTGTTTATCCATCCATCCATCCATCCATCCATCTATCCATCCATCCATCCATCCATCCTTCCTTTCTTCTGTCCATTATCTGTGTGTCCATCATCCATCCATTGATCATTCATTCTTCCATCCTTTATTCATCTATCCATTCATTATCCATCAATCCATCCATTCAACTTTCCCTCCATTCATCATGTGCCCATCCATCATTTATCCATCCATCCATCTATCATTTATTCATCCATTTATCCTTCCTTTTTTCCATCCATCCATCCATCCATCCATCATCCTTTGTCCACCATTTATTCATCCATCCACCATTTTTTCATCCATCCATTCTTCCTTCCATCCGTCATTCAACCATATATCCATCATCCATCTATTCATCTATCCATCCATTTACCTATCCACCTATCCTTCCTTCCTTCCTTCCTTCCTTCCTTCCTTCCTTCCTTCCTTCCTTCCTTCCTTCCTTCCTTCCATTTATTGTTATCCATCCATCTGTCCTTTCATTTGTGAATGGAAAGAGCCAACCGTCCATCCATTGATCTAACCATTCATCCAATCCTCTGCCCATCTAACTAGCCATCTGTCCACCCTCCCACCCATCCATTCTTTCAACCCTCTATCCCTTCACACTTATCGAGGACATGCTCTGGGGCAGACCCTGGGGCTGCAGCCCTGAACGAGACAGACCCAGGAGCTTTCTGTCTGTACAGTGTTTAGATAATTACTTACCCAAAGGACTGTTGCCTGACAGTGGTTATAAGGACTAGTAAAGATGAGGTACAACTGAGTACCTGGAACTGGACTATCCCTGTGTCTTAAAGGGCTGGATGCTTAAAGACTACCTGCCAAGGCCTGAGGCTGCAGAGACCTGGGGAATTCGAGAAACTTAAAGGAGGCCGGGAGCTTACAGAACGAGGGGAGGAGGGCACAGGGTGGTGCTGGTGGCCAGGTGGAAGCTGGAGGGGTCATGTCTTCATCCTAAGAGCAACGAGTATTTGTGTAGGAGACTGGAGCCCTGGGCATCATAGCTTGTGTCTCCCAGATACAAATGAATCCCTCCAATCATTTTCTGCCCAAGAGGGGCTGCCTGCGGGGTAGTGTTTCATCTGATATCTCTGAGTTGGAAAACAAAACCTGCCCAGTAGTCCCCAGTCCTTCCTACCCCGTACCACCCCACGATAATGACCTCCTGCTGACCAGAAGGCCCAAATTCCAGTGCTGCTTCTGCAGCTTCCCAGCTGGTCAACCTTAGGCAGGTGACTTGCCCTCTCTGAGCCCGTTTCCCATCTGCAGAGGCCTCGCAGTTCTCATCTAGTGGCCTTGAGAACTGCGGAATGGCACGCCATGTTGAGAATGGCTGTCCCTGTGCTTTTGTTTGTGGCCGGTAGGGGTGCCCAGCCAGGCGCCCTCCCTGTTTCGCCCTCCGTGGGGCTCAGCCCCTGTTCTGTGTCACCCCCGCCCTGCAGTACCTCCACGCATCACGCTGCCACCCAGCCTGCCAGGCCCCGTGCTGCTCAGCGCCCCGGTCCGGCTGACCTGTAACGCCACCGGCACCCCCAGCCCCACGCTGATGTGGTTAAAGGATGGAAACCCTGTGTCCACCGCAGGGACCTCTGGCCTTCAGGTCAGTAGGCTGGGTGGTCTCTGCTCACCTCCCTGGTGCCTCAGGAGGTGCTGGGAACAGAGGTCAGGCCTGGGAGCTCCGAGGCAAGAGGGAGAAGCAGTGATCACCCAGGACGGTAGGTGGAGAGATTTAAAGCTAAGAGTCTGGGGCGCATAGTCCCCAGAAACAGCACATGCCACAAATGCGAGCCATCCATGTGCTAGAGATTTTTCCAGTAGCTGCGTTAAAATGAGTAAAAAGAAACCAATTTTAATAATCCATTTTAGTTAAGCCAATATATCCAAAAAATGTATCATTTCATCACGTGATTTCTTTGAAATCTGTTGTGTATTTCATACTTGGGGACTGGCCCCATTTCAGGGGCTCACTAGCCACAGCAAAGCTCTAGAGCAGCGGTCCCCAACCTTTTTGGCACCAGGGACTGGTGTTTCTCTGGGAATCCTTTGAAATCTGTTGTGTATTTCATACTTGGGGACTGGCCCCATTTCAGGGGCTCACTAGCCACAGCAAAGCTCTAGAGCAGCGGTCCCCAACCTTTTTGGCACCAGGGACTGGTGCTTCTATGAGAATCTAATGCCCAATGATTTGAGGTAGAGCCGAGGGTGATGCTGGCGCTGGGGAGCAGCTGCAAATACAGATGACGCTTCTTTCACTGGCCAGCAGCTCACCTCCTGCTGTGCAGCCCAGTCCCTAACAGGCCATAGATTGGTATTGGTAGGAGGCCTGGGGCTGGGGACCCCTGCTCTAGAGGACCTGTTCAAAGGACTGATGTAACTGCCCACTGGCCGGCAGAGGTCCCGAGGTCTGGGTACAGTTCCTGGTTCTCCTGTGCTGCGGGGGTCTGGAGGTCTATGGCAGGCTGCCCAGGCGTGCCCGGTGGCAGGGCCAGCTTGGGAAGGTATGGGTGCTGGCCTGGGAGGTGCGTAGTCTCATGCGGGCTTCCATCTGGGGACGCAGATCTTCCCTGGGGGCCGGGTCCTCACGCTGGCCAGTGCCCGGGCCTCCGACTCTGGCAGCTACTCCTGTGTGGCCGTGAGCACAGCGGGCGAGGACCGCCGGGAGGTCATCCTGCACGTCCATGGTGAGTCTCAGGCTGAGCAGGCCACCTGGTCCAAGCCAGTGTGTACTCACTAGCGTGACCACACTCAGGAAGCAGTTAGAGTTGCTCCGATTTTTAAATTTCCTTGGATGGGATTTTGTGGGCGTCTCTGGAGGCTCACGGGGAGACGTAGAGCCTTGGGTGGGCCGGGTGAGGAGTCATTCACCTCCTGCTGCTAGAGTCAAGATAACAGTCAACAGGCATTGTGTGCCAAGCGCTCCCCTGTGTCACTGCACTGAATCTCCCAGCGGCCCCCCGAGGTGGGCACGTCTCCCGGGCCTCACATAGTGACCGAGTCATGGGACACAGGACTCCAGCCAGGAGCCCTGACTCCGGGCCCTGCCTTCCTATCGCCTACACTGCACGAGGACCAGGTGCCTGGGGGGCCTGCTTTTAAAACCCTTTTTAAAAAAATAAAAATATTATTAATTTTAGAAAGAGTTTGAGATAAGTGTAGATTCACATGCAGTTGTAAGAAATGATACAGAGAGATGCTGGGCCCCCCTTTACCCACTTTCCCTCGGTGGTGGCGCCTTGAACAACCGAAGCACAAAATCACCTCCAGGATGTCGACGCTGTCACGATCCACCGTCCCACTCAGGGGTGGGGGGGTCTCTGTTTGAGGCTGGACGCTGAAGGTCATCGAGGAGAGAGTAAGAGCCGCAGCTCAGGGCGCGGGAGTCATCCAGCCGGTGGCTCCCCGTGCCCTGGCGTTTGCTCCTGGCGGCCAGATGTGGCCGGTCTGCTGTCCCCACCCTGTCCTCTCCTGTGTCCTCTGCAGTGCCCCCCAGCATCCTTGGGGAAGAGCTGAACGTGTCCGTCCTGGCCAACGAGTCAGTGGCCCTGGAGTGCCGGAGCCACGCCATGCCGCCTCCCGTGCTGAGCTGGCGGAAGGACGGCCACCCCCTGAAGCCGCGGCCTGGAGTCCGGCTCTCCGCAGACAAGGCCTTGCTGGAGGTGTGCGGCCTGCGCAGGCCTCCACCCAGAGCAGAGCCGAGCCCCGGGCAGGGCGGGGCCCGTGGGTGCCCCTGCGAGCACCCCGTGCAGCTCAGTGTGCCAGCTGGCCCCGCCAGTCCTTACACCCGGCATGTCCTCCTGACTGGTCAGAGCTGCTTCCAGCCAGATGGGGACAGAGTGAAGCCGGGGGACTGAACCCTCAGAGCCTCCCTCAGGGCCCCCCACGGAGCTGTGCTCTGGCTTCCCACCTGCTTTTCACATCTCATTCCAGAGCCTTCCTGCCTGTGGGCATTTAAGACCCTTATCAGTCATCTGGCCCAGCAAGGCGGGGTGGGGGGCGGTGCGGGTGGTGGGGGGCACTTGGGTGGGAACTGTGGATTAAGCCTGGATTTAAATATTAGCTCGGCCCCCTCTTGGCTGTGCCACCTGACCACAATGGCCTCAGGTTGATCACCTGTCACACATGGCACCTTTCTTCTGGGCTGGCTGGGAGAATTCTTAGCGCACCTGTGACATCCAACCTGGCTCAGAGAACAGCTCATTCGCGTCAGCTGCGGGAGGGGAGGCAGCTCTCCAACCTCCCACTGCAGCCCGATCCTCCTCCTCCTACCCCTCTATACCTTGTGATATGACCATTCCCAACTCTGCCTGGAGTGCCTGTCTCGCCTTCCCTTCACTCCTCAAAGCTGCAGCCTAGCTCCACCAGCCACCCATGTCCGGGTCTGACCCCTGAGGACGGGGTCCCCTCCACCCCACCCTTCTTCATTCTCCACCTTCTCCCTGGGCTGTGGATGTGAAGTGGGGTGAGGCTGGCAGGGCTGCCATTTAGGAGGCCACCACGGGCACTGGCCTCCAAACACCTCATGGTACAGAAAGTACGAGAGGTGCCAGCATTGCCCCCAGGCTCCAGGCGGGGAGGTTGGGACGCAGTGACGTGCCCACGGTCACGCAGCCTGTCCATGCTGCCCTTGCCGATGGTGGGTTCTTTTGTTCTCTGCCAGGTGGGCCGAGCAGAGGTGCGGGACGCCGGCCGCTATACCTGCGAGGCTCTGAACCAGGCAGGTCGCTCAGAGAAGCACTACAACCTGAACGTCTGGGGTGAGGGTCTCCTGGGCTGGTTTGGGGTCCCTCCCCCACCCCCTCCCAGGGCTGGCCATCATGCCCCCTGGAATGCTGCCTTGATTGGACCCCAGGGCATGGCCCTCCTCCACCCCTGTCCCTTCCCCTCCCAGCCCGCCACCCATATCACACCCCCTTCTCTTACTCAGTCCCTCCAGTGTTCCCCCCTCGGGAGCCCAGCACCCTGACTGTGATGGAGGGACATCCTGCCAGGCTGTCCTGTGAATGTCGGGGTGTCCCTTTCCCCAAGATCTCCTGGAGGAAGGATGGTAAGGTTGTTGGCTGGGAAGAGGCTGGGGTCTAAGCAGAGAAGGCTAAGGGAAGCGTCGCTTCTGTAATCATCACCTCCACCCCCTAGGGCCGTGAGCCCACCCATCTCCATCTCAGCTAGGCTCTGGGGTGGGGGCCCCCAGTGCGGGCAGGGGGCAGCCTCCCCGTGTGGGGCTGTGTGGATTGTGGATGGGAAGAGGGAGGAGCAGGGCCGACTCGGGGTTTTGGCCTGACACAACAGTCCGGAGCATGGTGCTGTTGTCGCCCGGATGGAGAGGCTGAGGGCGGGCAGGTCTGGGGGGCAGACAGGGAGTTTGGAGCATATTAATTTCGAGGTGACTGTTAGACACCTAATGAGATGCCTAGTGGACAGTCAGAGGTAGGAGATGTCTGGCTGAGCGGCAAGACTGGCCAAGATCACCGGGGCGGGGGGAGGGAGATATAAGAGGGGGGAGGCATTGTCACGTGGCCACCGGGGCTCCTCCCCTTGTTGGGACATGCGCTGATGGGTGGAGGCTGCTGTCCTATACACAGGCACAGGGCGATGGAAGTGAGTGTTTCATCCAGTGCCTTGAGGCTCGCAAAATCCTCCCCCTGCCTGGGTCTTCTTGCTGCCCAGTGCGCCTGCTGCTTGGCCTCCCTCCCCAGCCTTCTGTAGCTAGATGGGTCGTTTATTTAGTAGACTTCACCAATCCCTACTATGTGCCAGGCCCTGAGCCTCTAAGGATCCCAGGGGAAAAGTGCAGGAGGGTCTGGTCTCCCAGAGGGCCCAGGCCAGGGCAGGGTTCAGACAGGACACCTGCAGGCAGATCAGTGATGGGGAGTAGCTCAGGGGTTTGAGAGCTCAGATGAGTGCCAGGATCAGATCTGCTGCTCAGGGAAGGCTTCCTGGCAGAGGCGATGTCTAGGTGGACAGCTGGACGAAGGGCGGGAGTCTGCCAGGATGGTAGGAGCACAGATGTCCCAGGCGGAAGGATTGGGAACCAGGGGCTTTTTCTCACGGCTTCCAGGTCAGCCCGTGCCTGGGGAGGGGGCCAGCCATGAGCAGGTGTCAGCTGTGGGGCGGCTGCTATACCTGGGACAGGCCCAGGTGGCCCAAGAGGGAACGTACACCTGTGAGTGCAGCAACGTGGCAGGGAATAGCAGCCAGGACCAGCAGCTGGAGGTGCATGGTGAGCTGGGCCGGGATGACCCGAACCAGGCGGAAGGGACCAGAAGGGTGGGCAACCGGGCACCTGGCGAGGTGGACCCACCCCCACCCCCAGAATTCGAGCCAAGACAGAAACGGTGATGAGGAGAACACTTTGACGGCACCTCCTGAGTTACGGGTGTCTTATTACCCGCCCCTCCCGGTCAGCTTCCTACAGCTCCTGACCTGAGCATGAGCAAGGGGTGACATGATCCCAAGTAGCCCCCAGTGGCCCAGAGCGGAGAAAATACATCTTGAAACAGAAATTGAAAGAAATGTGCGCTTTCTATGAAGCTCCTACGTATATCATGGAAACTCGAGCCTGCAGTGATGAAATATCTCAGCCCGTAAAACTCGTCCTAGAAAATAAAAGCGAGAAAAGCATTTTGGGGAGAATAACCCCCGCCCAGCCAGTCCCAACGACTGTCTCAGCTCCCATAAGCCTCTGGTTTCTGAGGAAGAAAACCCCTCACGAATCTTAAGGGCCGTGCTGTGAGCTTACTGTCCAAACAGCTACGCCCCTCACCCCCGTGATCCCAGGGTTGGGAACAGGGGACCGCGGGGTACTGTTACTACTACATTATAGGGCTGGAATATGGAGGCCCAGAGGGGTGAGGCCACCTGGCCAAGGTCATACGGCCAGTGAGTGGCAGGAAGGAGCACAGACCTAGGTGGGAGCCAGCCTGGCACCAGTGCTTGGCACCCGGCGGCTGGAGCAGCTCCTCCCCACCCCAGCCCCACCTCAGATCGCTGGCCCCCGGGAGCCGCACACACAGATCTCCGTGATCCAGAACGGGAAGGCCACGCTGGAATGCAACGCCACAGGGAACCCGCCACCCAGGGTGAAGTGGGAGCGAGACGGCCAGCCGGTGGGGGCCGAGCCTGGCCTCCGGCTGCAGAACTGGGGCCAGAGCCTGCACGTGGAGCGGGCGCGGGCTGCCCACGCCGGACGCTACAGCTGCGTGGCCGAGAACGTGGTCGGGAGGGCCGAGAGGAGGTTCACGCTCTCCGTGCTGGGTGAGGACCAGGGGCCTGCCGGGGTCAGCGAGGAGGGGGGCCGGAGTGGAGAAGGCCAGGCTGGTTCGGTCTCTAGGCACAGTCCCCGGGCCGTGCTCCTGGGGTCACCCTCTTTCTTCGGGATGTCGTCCTCTGGTGAGGGCTGCTGTGGGGGAGCCTCCAGCGCGGCTCTCAGATCAGGACCAACCGGCTTCGAATAGCTCCGACGGGCCCCCCTCCATTCCTCCCTCCCTCTCGCCCTCATTTGCTGTTCGCTACTCTGTTCTGGGCACTGGGGAAATAGGCAGTCAGTTTAGGGGGGCCCTTCTCATCATGCCACCAGTGCGGCTGGGACCCCGCCTCGCCTGGTCACCCCTGCCTGGTGGAATGGGGCTCCCTTTGTGAAGGGACCCTTTGGGCAGTGCACAGCAGCCGCTCCCCTCTGACGTATGGGTTTGGGGAGTGGGGGTCCTCAGGGAGGGCAGGCGTGGGGGTTGGGGAAGGAGCGTACAGCTCCACTGCATCCCAGGTGAAGCTTTCTCAAGAGGCTTTCTCTGGCATCTAGTGCCCCCAGAGCTCGTTGGAGACCTGGACCCACTGACCAACGTCACTGCCGCCTTGCACAGCCCCTTGACGCTGCTCTGTGAAGCCACGGGCATCCCACCCCCAAGGGTCCGCTGGTTCCGAGGGGAGGAGCCCATCAGCCCCGGGGAGGACACCTACCTGCTGGCAGGTAAAGGGCCAGCCAAGGGAGTATCTGATTGTTGGGTCTGGCCCTCTGCCTCTGTCCATCACATGCGCATCATCTCTGATCCCGAGCTGCCAGGTCTGGTTGGGATAACCATAACACTCTTGGTTTCCAAGAGTGTACCCCAAAACACTGGTCAGGAAAAAATGGATTTCAATAAGTCTGGAAAAGGCTTCCTGCTCTGCTCCCTTCCTGGAGACTCACAGTGACTACCTAGTCAAGGTTCTGATAAGTCCTGCAGCAAATATTCTCATGGCACTTATGTAACTTCCCACAGAATAGTGACAAACTTTGGGAAATACTGATCTGAGCACCTTCTCGTCTGCGTATTTATCCTCCTCACAAGTTGGTTTGTGATGGTTCTTGCTGGCATTACAAACGGAGAAACCGAGTTCTAAGAGTCAGTGTCTCATCCGAATCTTGCAAGGACTTCAGGGCCCCTTGAAGCTCAGCCTCGGTGACATGTCAGTTGTTCCAAAGCTGGGATGGCAGACAGGGGTCTCCTTGTGCACCACCTCTGAGCACTCGCTGGGGGCTGCTCGAGGCACCGTGGTGGTGGTGAGGACTCAGAGA